AGTTTGGTTCCTCGCCCAGAGCTCCTTCCTTCACAATGGTCTACCTTGGGCTAAGTCAAACCACATTGCCGTCTACGTGAATCAGTTCTCTTGATGTATATAAATGCTCCTGCTCAGAAACCTAAAAGGAGACCCACCCAGATTCAGAGAATAGCGTGACTCACACGTATGGATGTGCCCACAGTTGCACACACCCAAATAAGCACACAGACTCTTACCTCCATGCTGCTGTATTTTAAACATGGTTTGTCTCTTCTAAGAGTCATATGCTAATTTGGTTTTCATTTTGGTGGTGCTGTGAGCTGGGGCCTTTAAGGGTGGTTACATCATTAAGGAGGAATAATGCATCTCTCCAGGGCGTGGGTCCTTTCTCACAAGAGCCCGTTGCTGTAAAGTAAAGCTGTCCCTTCTGTTTTGTCTCTCCTGTTCATATCCGTTTGCCCATCAGGCTTGAAGACAACAGACACAACCAGCCAGTCTTAGACTCCAAAATAAACCTTTCACCTTTATAAATTAAAGTGTCTCGTGTGTTCTCTTACAGCGTCAGAAAATGAACTCAGACAGACGTCTACAGGCATATGAGCAAAGCTGTTTGTGCATGTAGTTTTGCACTTTTATATTAATACTCAAGCATAAGTCAGACAAGAACAGTCTTAAACACTCTCCCCTACACACACACACACACACACACACACACACAGAGTCATATGTAAGTATACAGAGGACCATGTGTTTGCCCCTGTTCCCCTATACGTGTATATATACCCTTGATTCATTGTGTATCTACTGATGTCTTATTTATGTGCCAGGAAAAATCTTAGGTGCTGAAAACTGGGGAGTTACCAACAACAGAAGTTTATTTTTGTGCTGTTTGTACATAATGAAAAATATATTTTTTTAAAATGCATACCCACTTCCCAATACCTCTCTCTCTTCCTCCCCTCCCCCACCCGCCACAAACACACACACACACAGAATAGAATATATAGGAATTATGGGATGGGAATTATGATAGGTGCTATGAAGGCAATATAGAGTGTTTAGAGAATTTGACTAATTCAGAATAGGCTGTAAAAGTACCCTCAAAGAAATGAAGTTTCAGCAAACACCCAAAGAATAAATAGACAATCCCTAGAAGGGGGAAGGGAGAGAAAAGCATGTGTCAGTGTCTTATGTTAAGAGGAAGTCTCTTGCATCAGAAAAATCAAGTTTGTGTAAGTAAGTGCAACTGGCAGACAAAGAAGAGACTGCAGACTATCCCTGCAACTGCAGGCAAGGGAGTCAGCGCACAGAGAGTCCTGGGCTGCATTAGCATCTCTGTCTTTATCCCCAAAGCATGTCTACACCAATGATGCATTTGCTACAGAGGTGAGGTCTATATTTTGAGAGCTCTCACTGAAGAAATATCTAAAGGGATTTTCATGCACATCACTACATACAAGAGGTCTACATACACATGTAATGCATATTTGCATATATGTATTCAACTGCCTGTCAGATATTTTATAGACACATATCATATGTAAGTTCAGAGAAAGAAAGAGCTCTAGAGGGCACTGAGGGGTGAGGCATGTTCTCTTTACCAGGTCTAAACCAGTCCTTGGGGCCAAAACTGGGAAAGTGGTGGGTTTGAAAGGAGCGTTCTGTCTTTGTTGCCTCCTCTAGATTTGGCTGACTGGCACCGTGCATGTGCTTCCAGCACTGTTTCTCCTCCTCTTGGCTCAGAGCGTCCAGTGACAAGGTGGGGTTTCTTCCAGAACATGATCATTGACTATTCTTGGCCTGGGCAAGGAGAGGAGGATGGGCAGGTCAGGTTGCATAAAGATTGCCTTGTGCCTTCTCAGAGTTGTGAGCAGGGCCTCTGGCAGCCACGAGCCGATGTACTTTCGGCGCACAGTGGGCAGCCCTAAGCCATAAACACACAGAACAACAGGGGAATCAGAGGACTTGACCGGCTGGCACCGCAGTAGGAATAGCTATGACGCTCTGTGATACATGACATCAGTGATGGCTATGTCCTCGACTGCCTTGCCATAGTAACTCATTCAGATACATGGATTCACACATAGGGAACTTTCCTCCTATGGGGGTAGCGTCTCACAGTGGAGGAAGTAGTAGGGTATTTTATCAGCCAGAACACCCGCATTACGTTCCCTTCAGTGCACTGGAACTATGCTTTTGTACACTTGGGCTCCTATTTAACCACAAAGCCAGGGAGGGCCTTGGGCAGAGCTAGTGGCAGGCTCCAGGGAGATCACTGAAAGATCCGATAGGAATTAAATTTACCTAGAACCTGTGTCTCCATAAAGATGTCCCTGGAGGATTTGTTGATGTCCCAAGGACTCCTACCCACTGACGTTTTGTTTCCCAAAAATGGTCTTAGAAAATGTTTTCTTCCTTAATTAAGAGGAATTCCAGAATATTTTCCTTTTGCTTCAGGCTGTGCTGGAAACATGTTTCTTTCTCCTCGGTTGGGCACGCTTCTTTGAGATCCTGGTGGCCACCTGCCAGCCCCATCCAGCTGCTGAAGATGGCAGTTTGCAAGTGGACACTGGGTAGTGTTGATCCTCCAGGCTGACCTGGTACGCCACAATGTACAAAGGACTTTCAAATGGGTCACTGTGTCTAACCCTCAGCATAGCCCTAAGATTCGTGTGGGCTTTCCATTTCACAGATAGGAAGACTGAGGTTAAAAGATGAGCCCATGCACAGGACAGAGCTGATTTTCAATTCCAATCTTCATGCTTATCTTTCAAAAGCACCGTTTCTGTGGTGTTCCACCACTCTGGTGCTCTCCCAAGGCCCCGGTCTCCTCCCGAGGGCCTCTGCTTACTGTTTTCTGCATCTTAGTCAGGACTGAGAGCCCCCAGCACTGAAGCCACAGGTGCCATGGTAGAGATAAGCAATGCCTGCTCCAGCGACTGTCCTCAGAAAGCTGCCACTGCTGATAAGCCTTAAGCTTGGTCAGCTCTAGCAAACACGGCTAAGAGCAACGTCCCCCAAGCCTCTGTGTTCATTGTGCAGTGCCAAAGCACTTGCTCCCCACTGTAAACTGATGGAACCCCAGGTCCCACTCCCCATGCCTGCCCAGCCAGCAGCTCAGACTTCAGGTTCAGGACATTTCTGTGGGAAGACCCAGCCGATTTACCCCAATTCCACACCCACTGGAGATGATCCAAGCTGTTTTAAGGGCCAAGTTCCACACCTCAATTAAAAAAAAAAAAAAAAAAAAAAAAAAAAAAAACCTGCAGGCTCCGGGAAGTAGTTCAACGTCTTAAAAAACAGCTTGTGTGTGGTTGAAATGTTTTATTTTAATCATAGCAATTAAATGTTCTTGTTTTGCACAACAGTCCCAACAGAATCGCCTTTAGCACAGGTGAGGGGCATGTAGGTTTGGGAAAGTCTCGGGTGGATGACACATCCCAAAGTTGAGGAGAAGCATTGGTAATCTCGTCTTTAAGAATTAACTAATGCGGCTTATTCAGCTTTCTGAGGGACAGCGTGAGTAACACATTCATTCACTTCGAACAATTTTTCTATGCCCAAGCTGTTGCTAACTGCCAGGGATACAGCAGTGGCAGCATGACAGGTGGCTTGTCTTGCTTTTGTTAGTTTCAATCTAAATGGGACGCTAGGCAATGAGAAGAGACTTAGAAAGACAAGTATTTAGTGCTAGTTAGCAATAGCATATTGCCAACTGGGGCTCTAATATTAACGCTCAGCAAAGCATACACAGACTTACGAGCGGGGGTGAAGGGTGGGAAATGGCCTTCTGGATTTTGCTATTCGACTCAAAAAGATATCTGGTGTCTGTCAGCCTCAGACTGGACTCTAATAATCCATAAAAATTTAATTACCCCTCCTTAAAAAATATCTCAAGGAAAAGCAAGGATGAAAGGGGCTGAAAGCCCTCAATGCCTCAGTCCTGGTCTATCCTATTTGGCAGGAGGGCAGGAGAGTCTTTTTTTTTTTTTTTTTCAAGACAAGGGATGTCAGATTCAGCAAATTAAAATGGAGACCACCCAGTTCAATCTGAATTTCAGATGGATTGCGGATATTTTGCAAATTTGTCCTTAATGTTACGTGATACATACTTGTTTTCAGAACATTTTCTGTTTATATGACATTCAAAGGTAACCGATCACCAGGCGGTGGTGGTGCACACCTTTAGCCCCAGCACTCAGGAGGCAGAGGCAGGTGGATCTCTGAGTTCAAGGCCAGTCTGGTCTATAGAGGGAGTTCCAGGACATCCAGGAGAAACTTTGTCTCCAAAAAAAAAAAAAAAAAAAAAGAAAGAAAGGGGGGTAGAGAGGGAAGGGAACGAAGGAGAGAGGGAGGGAGGAAGGAAAGAAGGAAGGAAGGAAGGAAGGAAGAAAGGAAGGAAGAAAAAAGGATGGAAGAAGGAAGAAAGAGAAAGGAAAGAAAAGAAGAAAAAAGAAAAAGAAAAATGTTAACTGAACATGCAATACTGGTATCTTATAGCCCTGGGAGAGAAAAATCAAAATGGCAAGAAAAAATCTCTGAACAAGTAAATAAACAGCAAGTATCTAGATATACAGAAGAAGGCTTTTCCAAATGCCATTTCTCTGAGTCCTTACAGAAACCAGCAAAGGGAAAACTAGGGGAAATTGAGGTTCCCAGGTCAAAGGTTTAGAGAACAGCCTGTCCTGTTTTCCTTTTTGGAATCCAAGCTCTGGTCACATCATAAAAGCTCTGAGACCCTTACAGGAAGTGTACCTGGCTGGCCTGGTTTAACCTGACTTACTCAAGGATGCTATTTATAGAGTCGGTTTTATCTGTTTGTTTTATAAGGACACCTAGTAACATCATGCAAACAAGCTGCTCTGCTTAGCACGCGTCGGAGAACGCCAATATAAAAACTGAAAGTTGTCTTCATACATCCAGTGGGCTGCTGGGTAAGGAGGAAATGGAACTCGGTTGCTATAAACCAAAGGGCAGTTTCTCAAGGGATGCAGACATCCGGGAAGCAGGTGCTTGATTCGACGTGAAGTCTGGACCTTTCTAACAGCTGGAACAGTATGATAGGTAATGAGTAAGTTTCCGGGGACTTCCTAAGTCAGAGATGGGGTGCTGCCAAGGACACTAGAGGATGTCCTCGCTCTGTGTAGGAAGTTCTGCAACTGTGGTGACATTCACATGCAGTGTAAAGGGGCCTCCACCAGCAACTTCCTTTACAAAGAGACTCCACGTCTATATGATTTCTGAGGCCTATATCCTTGCCTTCTGTGCCTACCCTTCATACATTCCTTAACAACTGTACGGCAGGCACTTTTCTTCCTCAGGGGTCTCAGTCGGTCAACAGCAATGACCCGTGCTCTCCTCTAGGCCTTTTTATAGTCCGGTCATCCTGGATCACTCCCTGGTCCTCTGGGAGGGGCTTACCAACTTCGGATGTTACCTAGAGCTTATGACCTCCGCTTGGCAGAGAAGAAAGAGGGCAGAAGTATCTGGATTGTGAGACTGATCTTTGTGGTCTTTGAGAGAACCCTTATCATCCACTTTCTGAGACACAGGACATGACGGACTCCAACATGGCTCAAATCCCATCTCTGCCTCTTCTGGACTCTGTGACCTAGAGAAAGCTTACAAACCTGAGTTTTCCTTGTGAAAAATAAGAGACTGGAATGACAATACCTACATCTCTCTTCAGGGTGGAAAGTGTCTGGACTTGGGAACAGGTTACTCAGACCCTTGACTCAAGTAAGTCTGCAGCCACAATCACAGTCCTTAATCCTCCTTGGTGGTAAAACAAAAAGTTGCTGACAGCTTCCTTGAGCTGTGCCTTTGGAGCCGCAGATCTCCCAGGAATGCTACCTATTCACACCACTTTGCAAAGGGAAGCCTCGTGAATCAAAACCACTTCATGTGTGCACCTGCGTGTGCTCCAGCACGTGCACCAGTGCGTACACCGTGTGCTCCAGCGTGTGCATCTGCATGTGCAACAGTGTGTACACCAACGTGTGCTCTAGCATGTGCACCAGTGCAGTGTGTACTCCAGCGTGTGCACCTGTGTGTGCTCCAGCGTGTGCACGGATGCTCTGAGGTCACTTTGGCGCCTGCTCTTGGGACCTTGCTCCTATAGTAAAGACTCCAACCCCAGGATTGTCTGGGAGGAAACATGCTGATAACTGACTCAGAATGGGACAAAACAGTTAATCCTGGTCCTGGGTCCACTAGCAGTGGCTTATCTGCTGTCTGCTGGGTGCGACTCTCACCCTACCCCCATTCTTCACTCAAGGATCCCTGAGCTCTGTGTCTCTTGGGAAAGTGTCTCTGATCTATTTTTGACTGAGTTTGCATGCTCTCCACACGGATTATCATCTGGCTGACTCCGGTTTTGATTAACTCTTTTGTTTGATCTGTTCTGTCTCACGGCATGAGCTCTCTGGCCCATTGCAGCCCTTCCTGGATTACAGGAGCATTGGCTAAGGTATCAAAGCATTTGTCACAATTTCTACAGAGGATGCTTGTCCCCTCATCCCCAGCCTACCCTACTCCTGGTCTTCCTTGCCACTTTGGCATGAGCAGACGCCTTCCCCCTCTCAACATGACTCTAAGTAGAGTCTGGTTTTCACATTAGCCAAGAGGAGGCCCTGAAGTCAGAAATCCTTGGCCTGTGAGTCACGCTGTTGCTTTGTGCCTCATTTCCCCCAACTATAAATAGGCCAAGTCCCACACTTTCTCATCCCCCAGTATCCAAGGGACCGGTACAGGTGCTTTTGTACAAAATTAGAGCTCCTTTCTAGTGGCCAATTCTGTTCTTTCCCAGGTGGGCTCTCTCTCAAAGATCATGGTTTTCCGGGGTCTCTCAAAGTCAACATTTCTGTCTCCCTACTTTCTTTCTTGGCAGCTGCCTCTTCCGTTGTATGCATGTGAAGTTTCTGGAATGCAGAAGCCAGGTTTTGTAGAAAGAGTTCTCTCTGTCTCCCTGTTGCCTTCAGCGTGGAGACCTCAGCAGGTGAATTCACAAAGAAATCTCACCCTGAGAACTAGCCGTATATTCAGGCATGTCCCAGCACAGATACCCTGACCGCTCCGAGCCTAAGGTGCAGGGCAGTGTGATGGACAGGAAAGGGAGGGAAGGTTGCTTGGTGTCCGAGGAGTTTCCATGCTTTTAGAAGAGGCAGACAAGGGTACATAAAGAGAGTTCTCATTTTTTAATATTAAAGGTTCCATAGACATTACTACCTTTCATCATCTGCCCATTTTACAGATGCAGAAACACACATCACTGAACTTGTAAACTGGGGGGAAATGGTTTTACTAATGGGTTCCTTGTTCCCGTTCTACCTCCAGCACTGAAATGTCTCCCAGTCTGTAATCCAGATGTGGATGCTTCCTGTGGCCCCATCACACACACACAGAAGCCCAGGTCTTAGAGGCCTGACACAGTTGGTGCCCACAGTCTAGGCTACTACTCCCTGCACACTAGGATCTCACTACTTTGGACTTCTTTTGGCTCCCTGAAGACCAGGTCTTAAGGAAACCTTGATGCTCCCTTGGATGGAACATCTCTCTCCCTGCTCTCCGGGCTTCTTGTCTCAGCTCAAAGGCACTATACATGGAAGATGGAGGCATGGTCTGTCTGTCCTCAGTCACTGGGCATCTTCTCATGTGTGCCACTCACTGCGTTGGAGAGCTTGGCTCGTTGCTCTTGATTTGACCTCCAGTGTCTAGAACATGGTTGACTCATCCTTAATATGCTAAGAATTCTTTGCTGAATGACAGGGTCAGTGAATGCATACTGAGGAAAATCTGACAGTACAAGGTCATATGAAGAAACAAAGAAAACAACCGTCATACTTCTGAATACTCTTTTTCAATAGTGTTTCTGTTAACATTAGGAATGTTGCCTTTTTCTTCCAGGTCATCTCTCTTACTCTTTCTCTCTCTCTCTCCATATAAATATAGTATATTTGGGTGTGTGTATCTGTGTGTGTATGTATATAAATACATATACATAAAATGTATGTTTTTGTAATGTATTTGATAGGTGATATACAGTATATATTTAAAAAATTTAGATTATGCTAAATTTTTTTTAGCATATAAATATGTATGCTGCTTTTCCCACTTACCATTATAGGGTATTTTCACATGTTATAAAACAAGCTTTTAAACTGATTATTTTCCCCCTAATTGATCCACCCTCTTTCCACGCCATTCTCACTCTCACAGTAACTGCTCCTGACTGTGAGTAGCTCAGCAAGAGGTACTCAGTCATGTTCCAGGAAGAGTCAACAGAATCATTTTTAACTCGCTATGCCTTCTGTGGCTTCTTTCCGTCTGGCTGACTCGAATGATGACCTCATCATGAAGCCAAAGATCTGTGGTTCGTGGTTGTGTGTCTAAAAACTTCTTCCTTGAAAGATAAACCAATACCGGTGCGCACGAACGGCTGAAGCTAATCAAGGGAGAGCAGAGGCAGGTCCTGATCATCTTCACACCAAAGTTTCCCTGTTGAAATCAACAGATGCTCCGGGACATCAGATTAACGGATTTCAAAGTGCAGACCTAAGAGCTTCGCGTGCTGAAGGGAATACAGAGACAGCAAACACCGTCTCTCCCTTTTCTAAGAAAACTGAGACCTGAGTCTTGTCCAAAATGTTCTAGAGCAAACAAAGATGGAGACCATACGGGGGCCTGACACTGCTCTTCACGGGCTGGGGGGGAGACATTTACATGTGGAGAAAATGAGATTCTGCTGCAGAAGGTTTTGGACTACAGGCAACTGTACTTGCCAGAGCTCTTCAGAGGAATGGAAGCAACTACGCAGTATGAATACACATGTGTATATATGTGTGGATGAATGTGTGCATATTGGCCCCTGTATTTGAAAAGTTTACATGATTTTAGAAAAGATACAAGTATCCAAAAATAGAAATTTCGCACTGGAAGTCCCATAGGAATCATGTGCTTTGCCAGTTGTCTGTGATTCTGTCTGCACGCTGGAGAGCTGGAGCGCTAACTAGCTGCTTAGTTCTGAAGCTGAGTTCCTTGAAACAAGGACTGATGAGGCACCTCCCAGCCCAGGGCTAGAGGCCTAGGGAGTTGATACTCACAGTCAAAGGCTCACGAGGCTGGTGTCTGATGTGGGCTACAGCAGCTGCACTGAACATATGTGCTCAGAAAGCCGAGCTTGCAAGCGCAAGACAACCTCCTCCACTTTCTACTTGGATTCGTCATGGTGGCAGGCTGGCTGGTTAGCATAACCCGCATTCAAGGATGCTTTTCTCCCTCAGCTGCTGTCCCACAAGTCAACGGTCTCAGGAAATGGCCTTACCAACACACCAGAAGGTGTGCTTTACCAGTCTCTTTGTTATCCCTCAATCCAGTCAACCGGCAATCAAGATTAACTACCATGGTGTCCAAATTAAAATACAGAGATTTGAACTATAATCCCTGAAGGCCACTCTATAAGTGATTGTCCAATGATTAAGCTCACAATTGAGGTATTTGAGGCTGTAACCTCTCAACTTTGTAACTTTATCAGTAAAGATTTATTAGTGAGCCTCTAAATACATGCATGTGCATGTACTGTGCCCAGTACCCTTTCAAGACTGCGAGACTATTCTAGGGTCAAAACAAACAAACAGAAAACATTACCAATAGCTGTTCTATATTCTCATTATATCCAAATGAGTTATTTTGTGTACTTCATCTGGAAGCCACTCTTCAAGATCATTATTTTTTTTTTACCCAAAAGGAAGGCTCATGGCTCATCAGTGGAGCATGAAATCCATTCATCAAGCTGCATCACCAGGTATGAAATGGGCTATAATGTAAGAATTAGAGAACCAAAGGCGGATTGCAGGGGATGGATGACTTTTACCTAGGGGAGCCTGTTTTCAAGTATTGTGAGAATGTGTGCTTTGTCTGGGGAGATGGTACCCTAGGTGTTCGAGGTGACTCCACTGGAGTCAGCAGTGTGATGATGACCAGCCGTCACCCTGCTGCTTCCACGACCCTTAACCTCATCACTCTGCATCGTGTTTGTGCACAGACGATTATGGCTTTGCCGATCTGAAGTGGGATGCTAGTGTGGGGCTGGAGAGATGGCTCCATGGCTCAGGGCCCAGCACCCACCCGGCAGCTCACAGCCATGTGGAACTTGAGTTCCAAGGGAGCCAGCATCCTCTTCTGGTCTCCATGGCAACTGAGTGCACACGGCACAGTTACATACCTGCAGGCACTCACACAGACACAGGAAACAAATCGAATAAAGGGCAGCGAGGCTCTGACTAACTTTCTCTTGGCCTACAGAAGGGACTTCTGACCTCCTCAGCTTTGAGTTCCACCCCCTCCAGTCAGGACTCTGACCCACTATCCTATTCAGCCTCTGCCCATTTCCTTCTGATGTTTCCACAACCTGACCCCAACCTTTGCCTCCCAAATCGGAGAAATATGAATTTCCAGCTCTTCACCCCTTCTCTGCATTTTCAAAACCAGGCACTGCCTCTATAATCCTACTGAGCAAATGCCTCTCTGTGAGCACTCAGGATCCCTTCACCCTTCGGAATGAACAACACTTCTGAAGAAAATCATGGTTTCTATAACCTATAGCGAACAGAGCATGCTTTGACATGGGACTGTAAGGAGAGAGGGGCCTGCATCATACCCAATGGCTCCCCCAAATCCTCTCTAAAGAATTTACTCCTTCATATTCAATAACACAGGACAGACAAGAATATACCATATTCCTGATGGGATTCACACGCAGCTCTGGGACAGACAGCAGGTTAGTGAGTGCGTATAGTCACAGACACTGGAAAATAATTCAAAGTTCAGTTTATCAGAATCCTACGTTTTGCCTATGCTGACACTAGCAAAAGTACATGTGCCAGGTTCTGTATGAAAGGTGTTACAATCAACATTCTATTTAATTCACGCAGGATCCATGTGGCTTTGATATCATTGTGCCCGGTGTGCATGTGATCAAACTGGAGCAGAAAAGGTTTGCAGAATTTGCTTGGTTGTATATCTTGGTGCAGGCCAAGGTTTAGATGGCTGGATCCATCACGTCCATGAATCACCAGAGGATCTGGGCTACCATCGTTGCTAAGGGACCTGGGTTGCCATGGTTGTCAAGGGACCCGGGACATCGTTGCTAAGTGACCTGGGCTGACATCATTGCTAAGGGACCTGGATTGCCATCGTTGCTAAGAGACCTGGGCTGACATCGTTGCTAGGGGAAATGAGGAAGGTGGGAAACCACAAATCGGGTCCCACCAGCCACTGGAGTTCATTAGTTCTCTCTTTCTTCTTTCTCTTTTGCTTTCCATCCTTGCTTGTCAACCATCTTCTTTCTGTCTCTTCCATCCCCTCCTTTTTCTCTGTCCTTTTCCCCTCCTCTCAGCATTGCTAAATTCACAAAAGACTTCACAGAGCCACAACGGACCTAAGAGATAAAATACCTCCACCTCTTTATTTTTGGAGATGAGGAAATGAAGGTCCAGAGAGGGGAAGGGTGTGGACCCAGTTCACAGCCAGCTTGCGGTAGGGCAGAAGAGAGAACCCACTTCCTCTCCACGTGATTTATCAGCTGTTCTCCTGCCTTAGTTCCCATTTGCCCTAGACAGTCTACACGCAGCAGCCTGCCCCTCAGCTCTTTCCTTAACTCAAAGATGCATTCCCACATAGACAACAGAGACACAACCGCTTTCTGTGATGATGAGAAGTCTTGATTGCCGACTTGAACTGAGTGATCCCTAGGAGACAGAAAAAGCACACCTCTGGGTGTCTGTGTGGATTGCTGTATTTCAGATGTGATTGGCTCACAAGGGCTCTGACTTAAGCAGTGTTTTAATTCATTTAATGAATTTAGGATTCAGTAGACTCCTGAGAAGTTGTGAGATTGTGGAACGTGGGGCCTACTTAGGGGGAGTGGGTGGTTGTGGGAAGGGGGCACAAAAAGAAGTTAACTTGCCCTGCTCCCTTCCTGCTGCTCTGTCCGGCTTCCAAGCTAATGTACTGGGAATTGTTTTCCCTCATGAAGTATTTGCTTCACCATGGGCCCAAAACAATAAAGTAAGCCATCCAATCATGAATGGAAGCATCCAAAATGATGAAGTAGGATAAACCTTTTCCCCGTGTATGTCAGATACTGTGTCACAGCAATAAAAGAGTCTAGAGCTCCTCTGGTAAAAAGTCAATAGCGTTGTAGAGTATTGACTATGAGTACTGATGGCCACAGGGTCAGAGATGGATACCGCCTGACCCCACTCTGAGCACATGATCCTCTCTTTCTCATCACAAGCCACCCTGGCTTTTCTCATCGTCTGATTATCAGTGTCTCCCACCAGACTCGAAGCTTCCTGAGAGCAGAGGCTGTTTATGTCTTTCTCTGCTTTATCAGTCTTATGCATCCCATTATACAAATCAGGACATTGTAGGTGTTCCCTAAGTGTTTGCTGAATGAATAAACAAAAGTCTAGTTCCAACATTAGTTTAATGGGCTACCATAACAAAATATATCAGGATAGGTAGCTTAAACAATAGACGGTCCTATTTTCTCACCACCCTGGAGGCAGGAGGCAGTGGGGGAGGGGGGCACCTAAGATGGGCGCATCAGCAGGGCTCGTTTCCTGAGCTTCTGTGCCGTGGCCCTGCTGTTGCTGCTGCACTGATATATCTGTCTGTGTATACTCGCCTTCAATATCTCTCTTCTTATCCTAACAATAGCCTGTGTGGATGGAGGACCACTTTTACAGGCTCCTTCTAGCTTCATCCCAATCTTATTTCTAAATATAGTCATGAGGTGCTGAGGCCTAGGGTTGCAAAATAAGACAAAACACAATTCTGTCCACACAGTTCCCCATCCTCCACTAGCTCACAGCTAACAAGGATGTACACATAAAATACGATAAGACAACATAATAACTCTGCTCTGACAAGGAAGTACAAAGCCTTTGTAGAACACAGATGATGGAAAGTGATCCCAGCCATCACATGGAGACTCTCTATGCGACTCCTACTGCTTTAGGCACAGAGTGTCTTACATAATTTAATCTCTGCCAGGATTAAATGTCAGCACACCGGTGCCTGCAATATCAGTCTCTATGCTAGAGGCTAGATGACCAAGACTATAGAGGTTTAAAGTAATAATGGAAGGACTCCCACTGTTTAATAGGAAAATATGCACGCATATCTGCATGTGTACATACATGTACACACACACACACACACACACACACACCATAGTGGCATGCTGTCTCCATTCATTCTTATTAGTGATTCCCGTAAGAGTTATTCCACTGCCAGCCAGTTCTGTCTATGCCTAGCGGAGAAGATGGAAGAAAGCGTTCTCTGTATGTCAGCCTAGAAGGTTTACAGTAAACACTATTACTGCTAACACTCTATAGCTGAATGAATTAAGGACGAATGGAAGCACAGCCCCAGGCAAAGGCCTCCCACTGCCAGGGAGCAGCATGCCCATCTCACACAGCTAGAAAACTCCTGACCCAGGACTGGGAGCCATCACTCTGGCTTCGAAGTCTGCTCTTTTAGCCAGACTTCGATAAGGCTTCCTAATGACAAGGGGTCTTGTCAACTAAGGAGAGAGAAGAAAGGAAAAACTGAAGCCACAAACAGGGAAAGAAAAGAAATTGAGGGAAAATGATTGCAAGGACCAAGGATGTTGTTCAGCTCTCTATTCCTGAGACAAGACACCCAAGAAACTTAAGCTCAGATGGGAGAGACGTATGATGGTCCATAGTGTCAGAGGCTTCGGGCCATGACTGACCCTGAGAGCATCGCTGAGCCGAAGAGCTAACTGTCAACCCGGAACGTTTCAGGGGATGCATCAGATCCAAAGTTTAACCCCGAGACTTGCGAGCAGCTTGCTGGCAGATGGGACAGAAAGAAGGGCAGCAAGTGAGGTGATAAGGGGAGCTGATGGGCCAGGAAGGCAAGCTGGGCATCACGTAGGGGAGGTCTCATCTGATAGGACAATAAAATGGAACCTGCTTCTCCAGTGGCTGAGGAGCTATTGGATCCTTCCGTCTTACCCTCTCTTTTTGTGAGTAAGAAAACACACACTAGGTCAACAGCAACATGAAGGCTCACAGTGAGGCCTCCTGAGCCCCGGGCACTGCACAATTCTTTTGACCACTGCAGAAACGTAGACACTGAAGTAATTCTAAAAAATGTTTTATTCTTTAGAAAAATGTTATGTTTTTCCTGTGTCTTCCACACAGGGCTCATCCACTTCTCATTTTTTTAGATGGCTATAATTTTGCCCATTTTCACTAAGTAATATCTTCCTGTCCAAAATGACTACAATGAGCTCAGAGTTAGACCAGCGCCATGGAAGTCACTGTGTGGCTGGGTATGGGGTGGGAGAGTGGCTTTAGGCTAGGAGGACCTGCGTTTCCTATGTCCAACTGATATTTAGAGACATGGCATAAGCTAAACAGTCACCCTGGCTTCCTTTGCCAAACAAACGTATTAGGTAACAAACATTTGCTGGGGCGTTCTATATGCCAGACGCTGGGCTAGAGCTGCGCTATGGAAAGGGAGAGCTGAGTAGCTTCAGGCAAAAGTCCCCACCAGACACGCTGTTTAACAGTGTCGTGTGTGTGTGTGTGTGTGTGTGTGTGTGTGTGTGTAAAGACACACATCTGGTACATCATCTTGGTCTGTTTCTACTGTACTTACATTGGGTCGTTATAGTGATACCTCAACCAGGAATACAGCGTCTAGGTACTTCACCCTAAGAAATTGGACAGGGTATCTCCATTTATTCCTTTACTTCCTCTTCTTTAGTTTTAGTTATCTTTGGCTAGGCACAGATATATTAAATGAAAAACTCTAAAAATACATTTATGGCATGATGAAGTCTTACTATTTCCCTCTCCATCCCATTTAGAACTTTGTCCAGAGTTCCACACTCTTCTGAGTACCTAAGTGCTCATTCAGTTATCCACAGGGCTCACTACTACCCTCTAGATCAGGTGCCCATTTGGAAGGCTGGGCACATACGTGCCATGGAAAAGGTAGGAGGAATCCCATCTGCAGAATCACATGTACGTGTGACAGGAAAACTAAGAATAGAAATGGGAGCTTGGGCACTACCAAGATTAACAACAGAGAGATGTTCTTGATCTTGAGCCTGGAGGAACACAGGAGACCTTGTTACCAGATTCAGAAAGGCAAGTTATTTGGCAGGACCTAGAGGTACCCAGCACACAAGGCAACTGCTAGTTTTGCCTCTAGAGGCAGAAAGAACAGAAGGAACACCTGGCCTCTCCCATTCTCTCCTCCAGGGTCAGATCACGGACTCCCATTGGCTACACCTGCCTTGAAGCAGCAGGATAGGAAACCTAGAGTGTGAAGTTTGCTGGGGCATTGAGCTGGGGAAAAAGCAATCGGAAGGAGCTGAGAACACACGTCTGCTGGCTGGCATGGAAGATGACTTTGGGGAGATCACTCACTCCTGCAGAGTCTTGGTTTCCTTGTGGGGAATTTGAGACCATCACCTCTTGGGCTTGTTTTAGGACTTACATGTAACAGAGTATAAGAGTGTCTTTTGTAATCTTCCAAATTGTGTATATAAATGGGAAGGCTTTTATGTTGGGCTCCAACCCAACACCTGTGGGTTGGAGGGTCTGAGGAAAGGAGTGGGGTGGTGTCTAAGAGTCACCAGGAACTTCGTCATGCCAGCTAAGTACCTCAATAAAGGAATTGTCCTCTGGTATCTCGATCTGTCATTGAAAAAACGTCAGACTATGTCTCCAGTTCTAGTCAGGGATCTGCTTGGAGTTTCGAGTGCCAATGACAAGTAAGCAAAACTCTGCAAATTACTGTGTTTTTACTGGTCTAGTCTTCGCATTGTGTATAAGACTAGACATGAGAAGCGAGACGAAACCACAGTAGACCCTTACTCCCTCCTTTGCCGATCCTCTTTACCTTGAACTTTGAGTTTCAAATTGGTCTCACTCATAATTATGCTTCCAACACGTTCTTCCTTCCCTTTTACCCATCTGTCTCCTTTTTTTTTCTCTTTCTAGTCTTTTCATCTCTTGTTTCTAATGACATTTAACAACTCGGTTTCATGGGCTTTTCCCTCTCTGCCGTGCTGATGGATAATAAAAGCTCAGCATTAAGCCACCTCTGTTTTAACTTGAGAGAGAATATTTCCCTGAATAACTTGGCTCGTCTTTGAAAACAGATGTGAGGAAGGAGCACAGACTCTGGACACCAGATTTTCTTTTAATCCCGGGCTTTTGATGAGATTCAAGTCTCAAGTCTCAGTCTTCCTACAAAGTCCAGGTCATGGCCAGAGCTCTGGACTAAGCACCAGGGCATGCCAGTCTGGCCCATGAGGACAGCAGGGTTTCCACCAGTGGCTTAATGTGTCAATGTGGTTTGGCCTGTTAGGCAAGGATGCAATTTATTCTCTCTCCCTCTCACCCTCCCTCCCTATCTCCTCCCTCTCTCTCTCTCTCTCTCTCTCTCTCTCTCTCTCTCTCTCTCTCTCTCTGTCTCTGTGTTGTGTGTGTGTGTGTGTGTGTGTTTATGTGTGCGTGCTTGAATAAAAGTGGCACTTGAATAAGAATTCACATAGAGGCCAGAGGGCAACTACAGGTATCTCACTGGCCTGGAGCTCATCAAGTTGGCTAAGCTGGCTGGCCTGTGAGTCTCCCCAGCCCTGGGCTTACAAGTGAATACTACCACCTCCAGAAGATATTTTTTTATTATTATTAAATTTATTTATTTATTTATTTATTAAAGATTTCTGCCTCCTCCCTGGACTTGATCCAGAAGATTTTAATAGAAGTTCAGAGCCCCAAACTGAGGTCCTCAAGCTTCTACTGCAAGTATTTCACCCACTGGGCTGTGTCCTCAGCCTATCTTATGGCTTCGTATGATGCCCCAGCACTTAGAAAGCAAATGGCGATATTAAATGCTGTGTCCCTGGCTTCTCGAGTGGAGAGGCTGTGCTTTGAGTGCCTCTAGGCTTCCATCTCCCTAAGATGTTTAGAAATAAGTACCACTCCACCGAAGGCCTATTATGGTCACAGAGACACAAAGATAGCAATAATCCCCTGGGTGACTCATGGTATTCCCAGTGGCCCACTGCACGTTGACATTTTGCTGATTCGGAGTCTGTGGGGCATCATGAAATGTCAGTATGTAAAGAACACCCATCAACTTTTTTCTATGAGAGCATGGAAGGGCCTAAGCCCCTGAAGCAAATCATTCTGTCTTCACCGATCCCTTCCAGAGAACTGCTGTGGTCATACCATGAGCCAAACCCCATGCTAGGAACCAGTAAGAGTAAGACATGGGGCTTTTACATCACAGTTACTAATGGAATAAAATGCGCAACAACCATGGAGCTAAAAGCTAAATGTAGTCATTAGTTTTTTAAAAAAATTTCTGGAAAGAGGTAATGTGACATTTTTATTCGCTTTATCTCATGAACATTTAGTGAATTGGGCCTGGGAAGGTAAATAGGTACGAAAGCTGAAATCTGAATGTGGAGGTGAAACCAAGTGTGGAAACTAAGACGTAAGAAGAGGAGGAGAGAAAACGGGATAGTCAAAAGCCCTGGGGCATGAAACTGTTGGGTATAATAAGTGGAAGGCAGCCAATATGGCTGGAATGGAATAAAGATGTAACTGGGGACTTGCTAGGAAAGTTGTTTGGGGCCAGCTCAACTTCACAGGCCTTAGTGAGGAATGTGGAGTTTATTCTAAAAATGGGAAGTCTTTGAAGGCTCTTACGCAGACAAATGGCACAGGCTGGTTTACAGTCCCTAAAGGCTACTGGGTACGGTAAGAAGTGTGGATTGTAAAAGAGAGAATGAAGCTGTTGCAGTGGTCCTCACCAAAGGTGGGAAGGAGCGGTAAGGTTGGTACCAAAGAGGATGGGAAGAAGTGGAAGAGGCTCCAGACATTTTAGGCAGTGGAGGTGGTAAGATGTCTCAACCGAAAGAACCGGAGGAAACAAAAAATGCCACATTTAGTAACAGTTGAGTAACTGGACAATCCATTGCTGCTATGGTGACGAACAATAGAAGAGGTTGGGATCAGAGAGATACCAGTTTCTTGACTTGTCAGCCAACTGACTTGGGTCTGGTTTTATTGCATCTTGTGTTCTGTTGATGTCCCTGGGAGGCCTGCTCTTTTCTGAAGGGAAATTGAGGAGGAGTGGATCTGGGGTTAGGGGAGCTGGGAGGGAGGGGGTGGAAATTGCAGTCAGTTGGGATGTATTGAAATGCAAAAAGGCAAAAAACAACAAAAGAAGAAAAATTTTAAAAATATTCAGATAACAAATACTTAGAAAAAATCCCATCTATATTGAATATGAACAGTCAGTCTCTCCACGTCATTATTCCCTAAACAATACAGTTCAATTATTTATGGCTCCTTGGCTTGACCTATATATAATAAGCAAGCTAAACACACACACACACACACACACATATGTATATATACATATATATAAAGAAGCGAGAAACTGTATTCAGATCCTTTGCCAGGTTACATAAGAGACTTGAGCATTTACGCATCATGGGTTTCGATATCTGTAGGTGGAACCAATCCTCTTGCAGATCCTGAGGCAGGACCATAAAGGGAAATCAGGATGCCAGGAGGGCAAGAGGAGTCATGGAATAGACCTGGAACTTGAGCACGTTTCATCCCTGCCCTAATTCCTTGGCAGCAGTGGTGTTTGGTGGATGTAATGTTGCTCTGAAGGGATGTAGGACAGGTGTGATGCTGAACATATGTTAGTTGCCAAAAGCAGGAAGTCAACCACCCTAAACTGTCCAAAGGCAAGAATGCCTGCTTCACTGATAATTTTGACATCTACATAAATAAGGTGACAGAGAGAGTGGAGTGAGGGGCCCTGGAAGTATCCCTCTAGCTGTGACATGTTAGGCAGGAGCATGGGCTTGCTTCTGTAGAGGCTGAGAGGAGGAGGCAAGCGAAGGTGTTTCAGAGTTTTCCTGTGAGAGAGACTGAGGTCCCAGCCGAAAGGTCTAAGATTTTTGGAGCCTTTATAGAACATATTGCTGACATATTAGGATCCAATTAGAAAGAAGAAACCTAGTAAAAGCTAGGGGCTGGAATACCTAGCTCCCAGTAAGACTTCAACAACTGGGCAACAGCAAGGGTGGAGGAAAAAGCTGGGGATCCTTGAGGGAATGGGGCAGAAGAAGGAAACCCCTTTAGAGATATAGGCTTCCAGGGGCAGGCTTCTAGACTTGATATCGCCTGGAATGGGCTGAGTCTCTTTCCTGAACAGTAAAATCACTAGAGAGGATATTTAAAGTAGCAGCTCTCGGGCCTCAGCTTCAGAGATTTACAAGTTAGTCTGGTTAGGGCTTCAGCCTTGGAATTTATAGTGTTCTTTCAGGTATTCCAGACTGCAAAATACCAATCTAATTCTAACACTCCCTTTGGATGCACATAGGGTCAGACAAGGAAAGGGAAGGAGGGGCCGGGCAGTTTTACCTAAGGGGGCAACCTCCATCAGCCAGCAGCAGCCCCCATCACCCTTGTGGGAATCTGGAGCCAGGATTTCCAGGTCTTTTTGTTTTCTTCTTCTGAATATCTATTTCCTCCAAAAGCTGAAAAATCTGGACTTTTAGGTGTTTGCCCCAACTATCTCAAAATCCCCTGCCAAACAAAACATGTCTGCAAAGCGCTCTGGGCTCTGAGGCTGACATTTAGCAGCCTCAGGGCCAGGCCAGTGGCTTCAAACTTCTTCTTTTAGCCACAGGAGGCTTTGACCAAGCAAGTTATTTTATTGACTGCTACAGGCTGAATAAGTATAAACCCCAACAGTGCAGGTCCCCCACAGGCTGGGAGCCTGCTCAGCCTCCCCTTCCAGCCTCTCGCAGTTCAGGAAGCTGATCTGCAGTCCTAGTTCTGGTTCTGGAAATTGTAGATTGCTCACCAGATGAGGAAACCGAGGCACTGTAAATTCAGAGACAAAGGAGCATGCAGCCAATGGGGCCTCTTACGTATGCGTGGGGGGTGTTTGGACTTGCCACCACGACAAAGCCAGTTCTGTGGCATTTTGTGGCTAGGGTCCAAGAATTCAGAACTTCCTTCAAGACAATAAAGTGTCTTCCCACACAAAATGCCGATAGTAATAGAGCTCTACGGGAAAACACCAAATGAGGATGCAGAAGCCCAGACAGGCAACATCATCTGGCAAGATTATAGCAAGTGTCTCTGGCAAGCTTGCTTCTGTCCTGCAGACTTAAGGGCTTGTCTTTCTGCCCAAAGGAGACTTCGTTGACTAGACTTAAGTTGGTCATACTCCAAACACAGAGGAGAAAGGGAAGCTTTACAATTAAAGTCAAGTAGCCCCTTGGGTGGGACACTGTGGCATAAAACACTAACCTAAGTCTTTAGGAGGAAGTTGGAAAGGCGCTTGGTTTGCTACATCTCTCCAGCCAAGTCAGGGGCTGGTGGACAGTGCCAGGGGAGGCAGAGAAGCTGCTGCAAGGAGCAGAAACTTCCAGAAAACACATGGGTCAGGGGAGTGGCACAGGTTTATCAGTCCCTTTGGTCATTCACTCTCCAGACCAAAACACCTGAGGGTCAAGAAACCAAGATCAGAAGGTAAAAAGATGCTTCCCTGAGTCCTCCCAG